GTTATGGCTTCTAGAGCATTTCCGTGTGTGTTCCCTATTCACAACCAACCTTGATGTGGACAGGGCAGGGATGATTATCTTTTGACACGATCACCACCTCGCTAATGTCATGATGATAGCAAGTGAAAAAGCGAGGAGTAGAACACAGGTTTTGGATTTCTAGCCCATTACCTCTCATCATGCCATATTGGAGTATATTTTTAATATTTCAAATAAGTTTATCACTTTATACTACTGCTTTCTTAATGGCAAGATAAGTATCACATTAGGGAAACATGGAAAAATAAGCAGGATACAGGTTTTAAAAAGCATATAGACATTAAAAATTAAAGCAGAGTAAATGTTAACTATTTAGCCTCTATTTTCTAATCAGTTTAAATAACTTTAATGCATGTTTTTAAACTCAAAATTAACTCTAATGCCAATATGGAACCCTCTTAATGCTTGGTGAATTATACTATATCATTTCATTTTAATTTCCTTTCTTTTGTGGGGTATCTCACATACTGGCACACATATGTAGAAGTTGGAATTATCTTTACATGTTATAATATACAAGGAGAAAATTCCATGGAAATTTTGTAGATTAATTCTTATACCCTAAAGATACATATATTTTTTCAAATAAATTATTTACTTTACCTTCCTTCAAATTCTCTTTATTTAATAATTTTTAATTGAATGCTTAAAACACACTCAATTTACAATAAAAGTGAAGAACAGAAATTGTGAGCTCTGTCTCATGTTGGGTGAACACTCCCTGTGACCCTTCAGTTTAAAGATTAAATGTAATGAGCACACACAGAGATGACACGAGTACATCTGACTGAAACTAAGGTTAAACTAAAGCTGTTGAGACTCTAGGGTGATTTTAAGTTAATTTCTAAAGAAAAGAGAACCTCTTAGCATATATATTTTCAGTCAATAGCAAAGCAACCCAGAAAAGGTAATTTCAATGAAAGTATTTTCGTCCAATTGCTGTATAAAGACATATGTTTCAAAGAAGCTGGCCTTCAACATGGTTATGTGCCTCCTGATCAGAGGAAAATAACTAGGTCTACTTGACAGTCTTGAAGCATAGACAAAAACATGTCATTGTATCAAAGTGAGGTTAAACAATGTCACTTAGCTTTTTCCCACCCCCTTATTCTGTATGCTCATGCTATAGCATCCAGTATGCTTTAAAAGAGAACCACATGGACACCACACCCATTACTTTATGTTACCTAAGTCTTCAAGAATACACTTGGCTTATTTCACTTAGCATAATACACTCCAGTTTAATCCATGCTGTTGCAAAGGGTAGGAGCTCTTTCTTTCTTTCTGCTGGTGGGTGTAAAATGAAGACAATTGCACTTGAGCAACAGTTAAAGTTTAAAAAAGAACAGACTTGGTTGGATTTTAAGGAATTTGCAAAAGTGGACTAATGTAATTTTTTTAAACATGTCTTCAACCCACTATCATACCTTACTCCAAATCAGCCAGGATTGTGGTGAAAAGTTGGTAGAAAAGGTAGATATGTGTCTCTGTGTAAAGGTCAATGTCCAGCTATCACTTCTCATCAGCATCAGCCTCTTCATTTCAGCATTCTTTATAGGAACATTTAGGATGTCAATACTAATATCTTTAAGATACTAATATATTTAGGATTTTAGGATATTAATAGTAATATATTCAGGGCATTAGGATTTAAAATATTAGTACTAATGTCTCCTAGAGATACTAGTATTAATATCTTAAATACATGTGAGACATGACTTGGGCCAACCAGGCACATATACTTTGTGTTATCATTTTTATCTGTTACTTCACTCTCTATTTTTCTCAGTATTCTACCACTTGCCAAATTTCAAGCTCAGGCACAGATGGTGAGAAAATGATTTTTGCCTACCAAGCAAAAAAAAAAAAAAGGCCCAAATATTAACAGTTATTTAACAACAGAACCCGACTTATTAGAGGAGGGCTTGGATTTCCAACAGTAATGTCTAAATTTAGAAAGAGTTTTATTTAAAAAATACCTCAAAGTACTTTGAGTTATTATTATTCACTGAAGGATTATCATGTTTATGCACTTGTCACCTAGAATGTCAAGCCCAATGTTAGATTGTAAATTGTCTCTGTTACAACCAGTTGTCTTTGCTTTCTGTTTCACAGCAGTATGCCCTTTGTCTCTTAACCTTCACTCACCTCCAATATTCATAGATAAAGAGGTCTCCAAATGGATACTTTTTAAAGTATCTGAAGAACCGTGAGGTTGTTAAACCACTGCTTCAATGCTCCTTACATTAAATGTTATTTCTATAGCCTGAAAAAGTTTAGCAGAGTACAAGTTTGGTTTTGATTACATAATTATGCTACACATATATGAAAAAAAAATCACTAAAACCTCCATGCACTTAAACAGTTTGATAGGCTATAGCCATTCTGCCATCAGCACCCCCAGCTGTGTTGCTTAGCAACATTTTAATTCCAGAATTGAAGGAGATGCCTTCCCTGTGGATAGGGAAACAGAAATAAAAGGGGTTTTGATGGATGATCTGAGTAGCTTCTTCTTTTTTAAAAGTATATTTTATTGATTATGCTGTTACAGTTTTCCCAATTTCCCCCCTCTGCCCTGTATCCCCCAACCCTCCAACATCCCCCCCTTAGTTCATGTTCATGGGTTGTACATATAGGTTCTTTGACTTCTGGGTTCCTATACCATTCTTAACTTCTCCCCAAACCAATTATGCTTCTTATTTCTGTACCTTTCCCTGCCATTCTTCTCCTCCCCCATCACACTGAAAACCCTGGTTGTGATGTCCATTTCTCTGATATTGTACCTGTTCTAGTTGTTTGCTTCATATTTGTTTTTGTTGTTGTTTTTAGTCTCAGTTGATAGTTGTGAGTTTGTTGGCATTTTGCTGTGCATAGTTTTTGATATTCTTCAATTTATTACATAAGACTCTTTAACATTTAATATAATAAGAGCTTGGTGGTGATGAACTCCTTTAACTTGACCTTATCTGGGAAGCACTTTATCTGCCCTTCCATTTTAAATGAAACCTTTGCTGGATAGAGCAATCTTGGATGTAGGTCATTGCTTTTCATGACTTCAAATACTTCTTTCTAGCCCCTTCTTGCCTTCAAGGTTCGTTTGAAAAACTCAGCTGATAGCCTTATGGGCACTCCTTTGTAGGTAACTCTTTCTTTTCCTCTTGCTGCTTTTAAGATTCTCTCTTTATCTTTAATCTTGGGTAACTTAATGATGATGTGCCTTGGTGTGTTCCTCTTTGTGTCCAACTTCTTTGGGACTCTCTCAGCTTCCTGGACTTCCTGGAAGTCTATTTCCTTTGCCAGATTGGAAAAGTTTTTCTTCATTATTTGTTAAAATAAACTTTCACTTTCTTGCTATTGTTCTTCTCCTTTTGGCACCCCTATAATTTGGATATTAGAACATTTAAAGTTGTCCTGGAGGTTCCTAAGGCTCTCTTCATTTTTTTGAATTCTTGTTTCTTCATTCTGTTCCAGTTGGATGTTATACCTTCCTTTTGTTCCAAATCATTGCTTTGAGTCCTGGTTTCCTTCCTGTCACTGTTGGCTCCCTGAATATTTTGCTTTATTTCACTTTATGTAGTCTTCATTTTTTCTTTCATTTTTCAACCAAGCTCAATCAGTTCTGTGAGCATCCTGATTACCAATGTTTTGAATTCCACATCAAATGGGTTGGCTATCTCCTCATTGCTTAGCTTTTTCTCTGGACTTTTGTTCTGTTCTTTCATTTGGGCCATACTTCTTTGTCTCAGAGCACCTGTTAAGTTGTAAGGGAGTGGGGCCTTAGGTATTCACCAGAGCAGGGAAACTCCCCTGGTTGCACTGTGGCACTGTCTGTAGGAGGGGTCAGAGAGGGAACAATCCAGCTCGCTTGCTGGGCTCTAGCCCCACTTTCCAACCAACTCTCATGTGAGACTGGGAATTTCTTTCAACATGGCAACCCCTGCTGTAGTCCACAGTCAGCTCTGAGTCTCAGTTTCCCATTCAGCAGCCTCACCCACACAGTCCACTGCTATGCCCCAGGTTATCTTTGTCCACTCATCTGCCCGTCTCCCTCCTACAGGTCTGGTTGACTGTTTCTTTAATTCCTTGGTTGTCAGAGTTCCATGCAGTTTGATTTTCTGGCACTTCTAGTTGATTATTATTTTTAGATTGGTTGTTATCCTCCTTTTAATTGTGTGAGGAAGCAAAAGGTTTCTAACTATGCCTCCATCTTGGCCAGAACTTTCATTCTGTTTCTTCTAATATACTCTGAAGATCGCTAGCTCTTTTCATGAATGATAAATGGACTGTACACAGATCAATGGGTTCAGCAAAAAACTGGAATCAGACTCCATGTCTAAGGTGATGCAGGCTGAGAAGCTCAGAGATTTCCTCATTTTGATGATTTGGTGTATGTTTACTTGAAGGTTTCACAGGAGGGCATTAATCTAAGCATTCAGTCATCCTTTGCCCTTTTGTGATGTCTGCTAATAAAAATGATTTTAGAAATGGATACTTTAGCTTTTCTATCACTATGCAAATATGGCCAGGTATCAGTTGTAGTGCATGGTAAATGGCTGTTTACCACAGATTTTAAAATCCAAGATATATCCATGACCATTCTCTCTGCACCTACCTCCACCTCCCATCACAACTACACGAGAAGGCCCACACACAGGAAGGGAGATTAAAGCGAAAGGTGGGGAGAGGAGGATCCACTTGTGGTTCTAAGTGTCCACTTGTATGAGAAGTGCTGAAGTTTCCAGACAGCCCTGACAATGACCACCTGTGTCTGAAGGGTGTACTTAGACAGGTAATCATTGTCCCCAGGAAAGGAAAATTGCTTTCTGTGCCTACAGTCTACTTATCTCCAGGAGCTTGTTTTAGTTAACTCCTTATCTTTCCAAAGAGCATTATATAGTGTTTATTGTTTTGGTAACTAGTTGCCTACTAATGTCTCATTGCATTTTTTCTTCTGTTTACAGGCTGTTGAAAAGGCAAAACCTAAGAATAATCCTATGAAGTAAGTTACGTTTTTATTAGTTGGAAACTTTAATTTGAATGGACTCTATGCATGTGAAAAATTAAGGTCATAAAATAGACCTTGAATTTTGACCTAGTCTCTATTCATGACAATTCGAAAACAAAAACAAAACAAGAAAAAAATTATTTCCAGTAAGTCAGGACCAGCTTTTATTGTTTTTCAGTAGTCCTGATGCTGAAGTGCCCTAAGTTGTGCCTAGTTTACATAAATTAGTATATGCCATCCATGAATAGCCACCAAATGCTATTATAATCATACTCAATGCATAATACTTCAGTCCTGTGGATTTTTCACATGCTAAAAACATTACATTTTTAATGCAAGCCTTGGACCTATGACAGAGGCATAAATGGTTGCAAATGTACCAGGTGATTTTCAGCCACGTAGGCAGATTTGGCACCCTAGTCTAGAAGTCTTGTAACTCTTTTAATGAAAAGTTTGTGAAATACATTTAACTAAAGTTTTTATAGCTTACAGAGAGCTATTTCCAAGTCATTTTATAGTACAGCCTTAAATTATAAACAACCTACACAGCACTCTTTTAAATATAGTACATCTTAGACATGCTGTCTCTTCTAGAACAGAAACTTTCAAATTAAGAAGGATGTCTGTCTTGTAATTTAGGTTTGTGACATATGATTGCAGTGTTACATTTCATACCAATCCTGCTAGCCATGTAGCCTAGAGAAGATCTCCTGTATTTGGTGGGTTAGTACAGGGCTTGTAGTGTCACATCTTTAGAACCAATGTGTTAATTTATGTCACCTGACTTCCATTATAATGGGTACCAAATGCAGAAATGGGGAGTGCATTTATTTTTAATAGTTTCTGGGAGAATGGATCAGCTAATTCCAATGACAAGAAGGCTGCTCATTTTTGCAAAAGAATTAACTTCTTCCAAGTCACCAGGTTACTGTTCAGCACAGCATTAAATGTAAATTCTAATTCTTTTCCCCAAAAGTTTGGTGTATTTTGTTTTCAAATTTAGTTTTTCTTAGGCCACAGAGTATTCTCTGTCAAGCTTCTGTAGCCTGTGTATATATGTTGTCTGGAAATGTATTATGCTGTAGTTGTCCTATGGGAGTATTTTTAGGAGCTGCATTTGTCTATGGTTGTTTTGTTGTGGATGAAATTTTCTCTGCAGCCTGACTTCTTCTGTGTCTATGCCCAGAAAGCTTATCTACTGTTAGCCTTTGGCTGGTGAGCTTTGTGGATTAGAGTATGGTGCTAATGAGGCCAGGGCCAAGATTTGTAGTCCCTGGGTGGGACATTAGTGATCTTTTTTTCTTATTCAACTGCATCCCTCCCTTTGGTCCATCCATATGTAAATATATGTGTTCTCCAGCTCACAAGGGATGAATCAAGGGCTGGAGGAATGTAAATCTAGGCCCTTGATGAGACAAACATCTGCAAGTTCAAGCCCTCTCAATAGGAAATTAATCCCAAATTCTGCTTTTGGGTGCCTAAAATTGGCAGTGTGTGGGGCTGCATTAGATTGTACTCTAATGGCAAGGAAGTGGGAGCAGTTTTCTCTCTGCTTTTTATGAGGATTCAACCCTACAGAAAATTAATGTTTTATTCACTTTTATTAATTTAGTGCAGAATCTATGTAATGTCTAGCACTTTATGGAACATTGTAAAGAGAAAACAGGAAAACTAGAAGAGCCAAGCAGTAATAGAATATGGAGCTTTATACTTTTACATTTTATATTTGAAAATCTGCTTAGTAATCAACCTACATCATAGTCATATGGTAAATACTTAGAATTGTCTTCTGCTTCAACAAGATACTGTTCTCAGTGTGAATTGGGTGTCCTATTGCAGTGGGGCTCACAATATCTAACTCACTTGCCTAGCTACAACCATCAAGACACTTTAAGTAGAGAGACTTCTTCAAGACCTCAACTCAGGGACAGGAATTTCAGAGCATGGTTCAATTACATGGCCAGAAGTGGAGTTTTAAAATATTTTATGTATAGTAGTCTTCTTTCCATTTCTGATACCTGCCAGAAAAATTCAGTTACATACAGAGTATGGGGGTCCCAAATAGAGTAAGGTTCAACACATGTATTCTGAATGAATGAACAAGTAAGCAAATTGGACACATCCCAGAAAATAGTCTTTCAGGAGCCTGGCTTGGAGGTTTAGTAAGACTGGTGGCTCTACACTAGTGGAGTGTCAGATCAAAAGAGCCCATGTGTTCTAACTGATCAAGTTGTGCAGCCCTTTATTCTTGATTCATGCCACATGTAATATATTTACACATTGCTCTGGTTCATTCTAGTTTTTTTTTTTTGCCTCTGATCAGTACCTAGCTTAATTGTGTATGCAATTAGCATTTAATTGTTTGAGCATACAATGGAAAATTTGTACAGTCTTGTCAGAAAAAGTAGAGGTCTGGAGACATCATTTACAACTAAGGTATGAACAGTTTGGTGAAAATGATTATATGTGAGATTGGATATCATCATCCAGTGTTTGGCAAATGGTTGGGGGGGGGGGAGTCAAAAGAAGGATACTTTGTGGCATGTCAAAAGTTCAAATTTGTGTCTACAAAAACTGTTTTATTGGCACAGAGCTATATTCATTTATTTCCACATTGTCTGTGGCTCCTTTTGTGCTACAGTAGTAGAGTTGAGTTGTTGCAACAGAGATCATATGGACTACAAAGCCAAAAATGTTTACTATGTGGCCTCTTACCAGATAAGTTTGCTGACCCCTGCTTTAGCTGGTCAGGTAGAAGAAAGTCAGGTAAGTTTTTCCATGACTGTGAACGTTAAACTATCAACCCTTTCTCTTTATGTCCTTTTAAAAAAATGAGTAGGTATTTGCTGAGCCCATATCATGTGTTCTGGATTTTCTGAGGTTGGTGTACCACCTAATGCACATTCAGTGTAGAGACTACCCTTAAATCACTGACTTTGAAAGATGTTTTTGATATGAGATCCATTGACCAGGCAGTGAGGCCTCATAAACCAGTGAACACATAACTAGAGTATACTATGTCCTTCAAGTTGTGCGTAGAAGGATATATTGCAAAATGTACATGCACTTTCTAAAATTTCTGTTACTTCACAAGATCTAAGGCTAAGTAAGCTTTCAATTAGAGTGATGGTAAATGATTCACAATATCCATTTAGTTTGTGCATGTTCCTATCTAAATGTTGGCATTCCCCTCCCTATTTCTCAACTACTGTTCAGTTTCTTTTTAACACTTTCATGGATTTTAAGGCTTTTTTCATCACCATAGGGAGGCTGTGGTACACATTAATTACACTTTACATAAAGAAGAAATTAAATTTATGCTTAGTGAATATAAGCATGTAATGTACCTGAATACACTAATGACTTTACCCTGAAACATTAAATATTACCTCTGAGGGTAAAAATCAAAATTGAATGTTCTTAAGATCAGTGGTCAGGACAAGAGATGCCAGTGTATGAGGGGGGACCCTAAAAAAGGAATTGTCTTCTGGAGGGAATGCCTCTTATGATACAGTCTTTACCCACTAGGTGAGTGTTGTAGGAACCCATCTATGTCAGTGTACCATGGCGTTGTTGTGAGAGGCTGAATTTGGCTTTGATGAATTTTTTTGAAGATTTTTTCAATATGTTTGCCCATTTCATGATAACATATCTGCCCACACTGGGCTGAGTGTTCTGCAGTTTTGACCAAAAATCATATGACCCCCATTTGCCACCCTCCCTATTTACCTGATCTCACTCCAAGTGACTTTTTTTTGTTGTTTCCTCAGATGAAAAAAAGTCCACAAAGGGAAACATTTTGCCAATGTGGAAGAGGTGAAACAAGAAATGATAAAAGCACTAAAAGGCATCAAAATTGATTCAAAAACTATTTTGAGCAGTAAAAAAAAATGTCTGGATAGGTATATTGCATCAAATAGAGAGTACTTTGAAGGTGACTGAAATTTAAACATGTAAGAATAAATACACATTTTTATAAATAAATTCTACTTTTGTGGGGCCCCCCTCATATTGCTCCAACTATGAAAAAGATACTGGTATCCAAGTTTGTTTAGTATGTTCAAACTGTGGCTCTTTAATGTGTCAGAGAGCATTGCACTTGTATATTCATGTTCTGCAGCAATTATCTCCAAGATTGTATTGTGACAAGAAGGCCTAAGAGATGTACAGATTTCTTTTACCATATGTGACTTATCACATACATTTTTAAAAAGCACATTTGTATTATTAAGACATATGTGATAGTACACTTCTGCAAATGTCAATTGCTTTTGGCTAAAATCCATGCCCTAATAAGTTGAGTTAAATCTAACTGAGGTTGACATCTGTTAAGAAAAGAAATAGGGAAAAGAGAGACAGAGTGCACAGTTGTCAAACATAACATTATTTATTTCTTATATATTTAACAACATTATAGCTGTCTTTTATAAATAAGGATCAGAATCCACTTTGCTCAGGAAATCATAGCTTTATTAAAAACCAGTTCATCTCATAGATACAGTGGTTTCATTATTCAAAAAAGACAAATAGCCACAAAGATTATCCTGACCATGAATTTAGTGCATTACTCACCTATTCACTCATTGAATATATATTGAGGATCTATAGCATTCCCAGAACTGTGATGGATGGTGAGGGGATTAAAAATAAATATGGCACAGTTCTTACCCTCGAGGAATTTAGAGTCCAGTTGGAGAGATATAATTGGTTTTCAAAGAACTGAATACAAAATAGAGATACATTTGTTGAGTGGAGGACAGGTAATGTATGAAGGAAGCTCTAAGTACAGAAAGTGCTTCTAGTTATCACTATTGGAGAAGGGTTGGAGGAACAGGAGACATTTGCACCAGGACTTTAAAGACTGCTGGACTGAGATACTAGTGCTGAGTTGGCAGGCAGTGAAAGGTTGGGTTTGAAGCCAAGGTACAGAGAAAATGGTGGCTTAGGACCCTTGGAGCTTATCCAGGTGAAAGAGACTAGCTTAGTAGAGTAAA